GAGAGGGAAAGAGAGATAGAAACATCAACGATGAGAGAAAATCATTGATTGGCTGCCTCCCACACACCCACCACTGGGAATCAAGCCTGCAACCCAGGCACGTGCCCTTGTCCAGAATCGAACTTGGGACCCTTCAGTCCACAGGCTGACGCTCCATCCACTGAGCCCAACCATCTAGGGCTATTTCTCATTCTTAAGCCTCTAAATGCCATGAATTGATCAAAATAAGATAAAACCCTTTGAATTATCTAAAATGTTCCACAGAATTACTATATCCTACATAGAAGCATAAGATGAGACATGTGACAACTGTTTCAGAATATAAGCAAGAAACTTCTCGCTATACATCTTTAAACAAACTGAAAGAAAACTCCTTAATAATGAGTTTCAACCGTGTCCAAGATAGCCCCACCTGCTGTGAGTGATGGCAGCAGCCTCACAAAGCTACCTTTTCAAATTATCTTTTCACATATTTTCTTCCCCAGTAAAACAGTTAGCTTTTCAAGGCCAGTTAAAATCATATATCCATTTTGGGAAGCCGTTACAGCATCAAAAACATGGAACATCATGTTTATAATTATACAACAATCAATACTAATTTGTCTATATTAGGAAAAAGGGAGCACAAAACATGAGAAAGGGAAATTTTTACTCCTATTAAATAAGATTTTAACTGACCATTGAAGGAGATTCAAAAGACTAGAAATGACTTTATCTGGTTGGACCATTTGGTTGAATATATTAGTCACACTTTTTTTTTTTTTTTTTTTTTTTGCATGGTAGCTGAGTTTTTATTTGCTATCAAAGAGAATATGAACAAAGATAATATAGCACTGTGATAGACGTGGGAAGCTAACAGGCTATTTAGAGAAGAAGAAAAATAGATGCACCCCATTTAGAAATTGTTTGTTCATTTAAATATGTTCTCTAAATGCAAAAATTTCAAAATTTTATGTCATACCAGCTACAACAAATCATTATGAAAACTAGAGGCCCAGTGCATGAAATTTGTGTAGGGGGGGGTATCCCTCAGCCTGGCCTACACCCTCACTAATCTGGGACCCCCTCAGGGGATGTCCAGCAGTCTCACAATCTGGGACTGCTGGCTCCTAACCACTCGTCTGCCTGCCACCTGATCAACCCCTAACCACTCCCCTGCCGACCTGATTGATGCATAATTGCTCCCCTGCCAGAGTAATCGCCCCCAACTGCCCTCCCCTGCTGGCCTGATTGCTCCCAACTGCCCTCCCTTGTCAGCCTGATCACCCACAAATGCCCTCCCCTGCCATCACCTGCCTCCTCCACTGGGCCCTGCCTCTGTTGTGCCATCTTGTAATGGCTATCTTGTGATGGCTATCTTGTGATGGCTATCTTGTGGTGGCCATCTTGTGATGATATTAGAGTGTGATGCGTGAGGGCGTGATGAGATAAAGATAAATCTATTTGAATGATAAACAGAACAATTCTGGCATGATTACTCTTTTAAGTATTTTTAAAGAGAAATTCTCTTCTCTTTCCTATTCTCCCTACCCTGAATGTCCATATGCCAAAGGACCACTGTTACATTTAGAGAGGACAAGCAGAGGGCACAGAAAGCTGGAGAAAATGAATCTTAGCCAATAAGGATGGAAAGGAGGGCAGACAATAGATGCAGGATGAGAAGCTAGACCAGCAAAATATTTGAAATATGGTTAAGAAACATAAATTCTATTGCAATTGAATGCACTTCTAAACCAGTAAGTGTGCATGGGATGGCAAAGATCTGTACATACAAGTATGAAAAGGCAGAGCAGAGGGATCAAACACCACTTGGGTGCCTGAATCCAAAAGCCCGAGTTCTGATCTTGGCAGTGTTACTAATAGGTCTGGGTAAGGACTTAACACATTTTTTATGTATCATCACAAATAGCAAAATGATATTAGCATTCAAAATAAATGATTGTGTTTCTAAGTCAAGAGTATGGTTTGAAAGAGAACATCATTTTGACCTTTCGCTTGACAGCTTACATCTTTAGAGATCTGAGATACATTTTTGTTCATTTGGTTTTTAAAAAACCCTGAAGTGATCTGCTTTCCTACATAATCTCCAGGAGACAGATAGATGATAGATAAATAGATAGATAGATTTAAAATATAATATATATATTTAAATATATTTTATTGATTTTTACAGAGAGGAAGGGAGAAAGATAGAGAGTTAGAAACAGCAAATTGAAAGAAACATCCATCAACTGTCTTCTGCACGTCCCCTACTGGGGATCGAGCTTGCAACCAAGGTACATGCCCTTGACCAGAACTGAACCTGGAACCCTTCAGTCCGCAGGCCGGCACTTTATCCACTGAGCCAAACCAATTAGGGCAGATCTGAGATATTTTGTAACAGAGAAAGAACTGTAGAGTTAAAGGTCAGAATAAAACCGCAAGTCTACTGCTTTTCCTTAAAGTTTAGAAAAGAACTTCAAGTTAAAGTCCTTGGTGAACTGTAAAGCACTGAGAAAATTATGAACAATCACATGTCGGCATGTGTCAGTGTACGCAAAACAACCTCGGAAGCTAAGGTCACTATAAACGGAAGTAAAATATCTGGCCTTAAGCTTTTGCCCTCTGAACAAGTTAAGGAAGCAAGCCTTACCAAGAAACACTGACCAATGTCAATGCTACTTCCATTAATGAGTTAGTGTATTTCATTTACATGCAGGGAGTTCTTCAGGTTATGCCATCTAATAAAATAGTAATATGCAAATTGACCATCACTCCAACACACAAGATGACTGCCCCTATGTGGACACAAGATGGTCACCACAAGATGGCCAGCAGGGAGGTCAGTTGGGAAGGACCAGGCCTGCAAGGAAGGACAGTTGGGGCGATCAAGCCTGTAAGGGAGGGAAGTTAGGGGTGACCAGGCTAGCAGAGGAGGGAAGTTGGAGGTGACTGGGCTGCAGGAAAGGGCAGTTGGGGGGACCCAGGCCTGCAGGAGAGAGCAGTTGAAGGAACTAGGCCTTCAGGGGAGACCAGGCCTGCAGGGGAGGACAGTTGGGCGTTACCCGGCCTGCAAGGGAGGGCAGTTAGGGGTGATCAGGCCTGCAGGGAAGGTCAGTTAGGGGCAATCAGGCTGGCAGGGAAACAGGCATCAATCAGGCTGTCAGGGGAGTGGTTAAAGGGTGATCAGGCTGGCAGGCAGAAGCGGTTAGGGGCAATCAGGAAGGCAGGCAGGTGAGCAGCTGGGAGCCAGCTGTCCTGGATTGTGTGAGGGATGTCCCAGATTGGAGAGTGTGCAGGCTGGGCTGAGGGACACCCCACCCCCCCCATTCACAAATTTCGTGCACCTGGCCTCTAGTAATTACAGAAGATACATAGGTGAGCCGTGATCCAGGTGAAAGTGTGAAATATATATTCACTAGCCCAAAGAAAAGCATAAAGATGGACATATAAAAATGTTGCCTTTTAAAGACAAACATCAACTAATGGATCTTTCTACAGAATTTTGCAAAACAAAACATTAAGAAATGTCAATAGAAAATGGAAGTGAAAAAAGAATACCCAGGTTTACAAGGGTGGTGACAGGATGATTATAATTTATTTTGGTTAGAAAAACAATAGAAACTGTTATTTTTGCCCTGGTGGGTGTGATTCAGTGATTAGAGCATCAACCCTCTAACCAAAGGGTTGAAGATTTAATTCCCATTCAAGGAATCAACTGCAGGTTTGCCAGCCATGGTAGGGGTATGTGTGTGGGAGGTAACTAATAGATGTCTCTCTCACATCAATCTTTCTCTTCCTCCCTTCTATTCTCTCTAGAAATCAATGGAAAAATATCCTCAGGTGAGGATTTAAAAAAAGACAAAGAAACAAAGCAAAACTGTTATTTCCATGCTGCTAAAATATACTTTTTAAAATCACAGCATTATATTTTAACTCAGTTTGTATTCCATTTATCATTTAAAATTCAAGGCAAAGTCAGTTGGTTTTAACAACAGCTAGTATACGTAAGATTGTATCTCACCAACCTTGAGCTACCAAACTATGGGTAGTACTAATTCCCTTCCATCAAAAGTTCTGCTTACTCATAATCACATACAAGTTGGGAATTTAGGAGAAAAGGGGACTGGCAAAATTACAGAAACCCTGGGTGTAGTGGCTCATATGTGTCTCCCTCAGAAAGGCCAACATTCATCAGCTCTGTCATGGTCCATGAGAGCTCACTCAAGAGCTCTGACACTCAGGGAAGAAAGAACTCAGAATAAACTGCCACTTCCCGTCAATAAAACAACCTGCAAACCCACAGTGAAAACCTGTAATTATTATTTATTCCGCAAATGCTTATGGGCATTGGGATACAAAAATGCGGAACACACAGTCCCTGCTCTACGCAACTTACAGTCTAGATGGTGAGACAGATGATAATAAAAAAAGCATAACACAACACATCTATGCTACCCCTAGGAATACAGATAAACCTCCTTTTAGATAATGTGGTTAAAATTAGGAATAAGTGAGGAAACACACTATCAAAATACAGTGATTATAATTATATGACAATCAAGGATTCAAAGAACAAAAAACTAAAAAGCAACAATGCAAACTGTAAAATTCTCAAAATGGCTTTTGTTCACTGAAAACATGTTTTAAACGCATATTAACAAATGCTTTTGCCAATTAATAGTTATTATGACCTTTTGTACCCATCTTCCTAAAACCGTTTGAAGCCACCAATTCTCCCACCCCGCCAGGGGACTGCTCGTGAGCCTGCCTTCCGGTCCCCTCGTACTCCCAAGCTGAGCCTGTCTGTGCCCAGCAGGACAACCAACAAGTCTCATCACCAGTAGGGGCTGGAATAAGCCTACATTCATTCACAACTGTTTTCACAATAAAATTAAATTAGTGACAATTTAACTGCATGAAGAGAAACACACTTGATATCCATGGGTCAAAGAAAACAAGTATGTAAATGGAAGGCTTTAAGATGGAACAAACAAAAGGTGTGACGTGCTGGGTATTACCTTTCTGTGGGTGTAGGAGCCGGTTTCATGCAGAACTGCCACTCTGAACGGAGGCCACCATGTGTGAAATTCCTTCACCCACTGATGCATCACTGTCGTAGGGCAGACAATGATTGTCGGACCCAACCCCTCAAACCTGCACCAAGAAGAAAATACAACCATAAATGACAGTACAAGAATGATCAACTGCCAAAAAAGAAAAAAAGAAAAAGAAAATTTAAAAAAAAAAAAAAAAAAGGAAAATCCTAGCTATGGAAATTTGATATGTCCTATAAAGAATAAGCTGCTAAGGTTAAAACCTCGTCAGTGAAATCCCCACCATCCCATTTATCAATTGGTGAATGCAGGTACTAAGAGAAAACACTAGCCAACACATTGGGAGATAACATCTATGCTCAGTGGTTGAGCATCAACCTATGAACCAGGAGATCACAGTCGATTCCTGGTCATGGCACATGGCCAAGTTGCAGGCTTGAACCCCAGTGGGGGCGGGGGGGGGGGTGCAGGAGGCAGCCAATCAATGATTCTCTCTCATCATTGATGTTTCTCTCCCTCTCTCTCTCTCTCTCTCTCTCTCTCTCTCTCTCTCTCTCTCTCTCTCCTCTCTCCCTTCCTCATTGTAATCAATAGACTTTTTAAAAAAAGATAACATTTAAAGTAAAACTCATGTAATAAAAATACTTTTCTCTCCTCTATTCCAGATTAATGAAAAGATTATACAATGTATCTTAAACTAAGGGAACACAGGAGTGCCTTCCATTTGTTTGACCCTTTATAGTTTACCACAAGTTTTCACCCACAGAATTGCAACCAGCTTCACAGCCCTGGAAATAAGCAGGATGGAAATGCTCGGTGTTCAGAGCCCAGAAGGCTGGCATGCCAAGGCCACGTGGTCACCAGGAGAGGGGCAACGCCTAGAAGTCAGTTTTCCACATGCTGCTCGCTTTCCCGGTGATACACTCCTGGAGGAGCATCATGGTGGCCGTTGCTAGCGGTAAGACCAGGCCATCAAGCGCAAGCGCCTGTTCTTGTGGAAACAACTGAGTGGAAGCAAGAGCCGTCCCAACAGCCCCCGTCCACCCAGCAATCCCAAAGAAGCATCTGTCCCCAACGGGGAAAGGGAGCCTCTTTTTCCTCTTTATTTCCTCTTTCTACTTGCACACCCACAGACAAAGGAAGGGTTGACTAAACCATCCTGTTCTTCAATGCAGCACAGGTCAGTGGTTAGCGCTGCCTGGGTCTGAATCCCAGCTCTGGGCACACTAATTCTGTAATCTTGGGCATATTGCTTAATCTCTCTGAACCTCAGTCTCCCATCTTAAAATGGGAATAACAGTACTGATCATATGGTTCATGTAAAGATTGAACCAGTCAATATCTGTAAAGTGCTTATAGTCAATATTGTACCACACAGTAAATACTGTGCTTGTTAAAGAAAATGGAATATCATGTAACCATTAATATTCTTTCTGAAGAATATTTTAAAATCTGGAAAAATGTTCATAGTAAATCTTATAAAAAACAAGACTTACACACAGGTAGCTGATAGAGGGGTGTGACCACTATCCCAGCATGCCTTTGCCCTAACTCCTGCCTAATGGAACCAGTGCTTGCAGCATCCACGCTTCCTTCCAGAGGTGTGCCTGCGGACTCTGCGCTGTCCGGCTGAGTGAAGAAGGGGGAAGCAAGGGTCCCAATTCCTCTCAGACTGTCAGCACACAGCACTCCCCTGGCAATGCTCACCAGTCCACTGAGGGCTGGGAACACTGGCTCATCTTCCCTTATCTGTGGTTTCACCTTCTGCATTTTCAGTCCAAAAATGTTAAATGGAAAAGTCCAGAAATAAACAATTCTAAAGTTTTAGACTGTTCTGAGTAGCCCGACTGTGATAAAATCCCACATCCGGCTTCAGCCGCGTGTCACCCCTTCGGCCAGCGTACCTGCGCTGTATCCACTTCCACCCATGAGTCACCGAGCGGCCATCGGGCTCTCTCATTGACTGTCATGGTACCACAGTGCTTGTGTTCATAACCCTCCTAGCGGCCGCGCTATGGCACCCTGCCCACACCACTCACCTTCTGTCCTCCACAGGTACACCACCCACCCCACACCATCACAAGAAAAGAGAGTGGGAACAGTAAAAGACGACATTTTGAGAGAGAGGTCACATTCACACACCTTTACTGTAGTACATTGTTATCATTACTTTATTTTGTTACTAGTTACTATTTTTCATTGCTTACTGCGTCTAATTTATAAATTACACTTTATCATAGGTGTGAATGCACAAGGGTCAGGTCTTCACTGGGACCTTGGAACACACCGTGTGGGTGAGGTGCTGCTCCTTCTCAGCTGGGGGCGTTTCCTGTCGGTCTCCTGCTGCCTGTGCACAGGAACCAGTCCAATAGCCACGGGCAGCTGGCTACAGTGCAGATCGTATGGCCACAAGGAGAAGTGTGAGCACTCGGGTCCCTGAGGCCATCCCAGCCCACTGCCCGGCTGTCACTGCCACTCCTGCAGTCTTCCCCGCAGGACAGCACACATCCTGGGAGAGTGTAACCTGCTTGGAAACCAGACTTTATTTCCTTACAGTCACAAGATGCTGATGCGCTGTGAACCACAGGCAGCTGAGTCCACCCATCCTGCCCCCCTTCCCTCCTGTGACAGCAGAACGGGTCCCTTCTCTCAGCGGACACCAGCCGCTGGGCCTTGCTGTGAGCCCGAGCTCCAGGGAGCTGGTGCTAGCAAGGGCAGAAGTGAATATGAAGCAGCTTAACATTAGACTCACGCAGCTTCTGCTACAAGAGGAGCCAACACTGTCCACACATTGCTGACCTCCATGCCCTCTCCTCACTCTGGAGCAGTCCAGGCACTTTTTAAACTGCCCTTCTTGCCGAAACCAGTGTGGTTCAGTGGATAGAGCATCAGCCTGCGGATTGAAGGGTCCCAGGTTTGATTCGGGTCAAGGGCATGTACCTTGGTTGCGGGCACATCCCCAGTAAGGGGTGTGCAGGAGGCAGCTGATGGATGTTTCTCTCTCATCGATGTTTCTAGCTCTCTATATCTCTCCATTCTTCTCTGCAAAAAATCAATAAAATATATTAATAAATAAATAAACTGCCTTTCTTCCCCTCCCCTACCTTTTTCTGCCCAACACGTGTTGCCTAAAGTTAGATGTACACTGCACATTCTTGCCCCGTGTTACCTAATTAATTCCCATAGTTTCAATTACTCCCTCTACACGGATGACGCCAAATCTAGGTCTCCGGCCCAGATCTCCTTCCTGAACTCCAAAGTACCATATGCTTGGATGTCTAACTGCTGTATCTCCACTCAGATGTCCCCATGGCATCTTCCCCTGCCCTCCGCATGTCTCCTAATCCAATGGAAAGAACTGTCACCTGTTCTCCAGGTGCCCAACTTGGAAATCCAGCCTCACTCCTGGTCAGCCCCTATAGCTCTCCAGCATATCCAACCTATCGAGTTCAGGTCACGTCTGGCTCCTAAATCCTCCAAAAGCCACCTGCCTGTGCATCTGCACTGCTGACGCTCAGTTCTGGCCACTATCATCTGACCCAGTTACTGTGTTACTAGCATGATCAGTTCAAAAAAGCAAAATCTGAATGCTTCACCCCTTTGCTTAGAAAAGCCTTTTAATGTCTGCCTGTTGTTCTAGGTACAATTTAAACACCTCATCTGGCCTATGAGACCACGAGGATCGATCTGAGCTCTGCTCTCCTCATCATCCTCACCTCTCATGGCCCTACCCCAACATTTGCCCCGAGACTCAGCACTCCACCAGCCCGGACTGTCTTCAGTTCCCACAAAGAGCACAGCCTGGGCCTCTCACTCTTTGCCTCGCCCCTTCCCATCCTTTCATCCTCGCCACTGTCTGTTTGTCCCGCAGACCCCAGCTGCCTCTGTAGCTTGTCCTGTCCTTCCTCTCCAGAAGGCTAGGGACCCTCCCTCGGTGCAGCACACTTATGAGAACCCGTACTACCCAACCCAATCACAGCAACACATTCCTAAGCGCCTTTCTTCAAACCATCTCAGTGCCTAAGCCATGGGAAGGAATTAATGAATACTGGCTTTATTAAATAAAAATATTTTTAAAGGTTGGCAGAAAATATATTGAAATGTTAAAAGAGATAATTTCTGAGTTGGGAGATCATATGTAATTTTTATTTTCTTGCTATAGTTCAATAAATGATACCTGAACTTGAAAAAATTATAAATCAGAGTAAATCACACAGTGCTTGAAATAATAAAAACAATATTGTGCGAAACTGAAAAAAACCTTGTAGTTCTAATAGAAAAACAAGCCATAATCTCACTCTATACTCCAAAGTTTCCACTGCTTCTAAACCCTTCCAACCTGCAGCTTCCATCCCTGCCTGCCCTCTGCTCTGCTCAAAGGCTGGGGCCACAGAGATCAGAGGTTGCAATCGACTCTGGCACTTCCTGCAGAATTCCCCCAACATCTCTGCTTCTCACTGAGACAGTCCTGGGAGAGTGTGCCTCTGCCCTGGCCCCTTCCAAGACAATATTCCTTTCTAAAAGGATTAAATGCGCCAGCTTATCTCCTCCAAGGGGAACAAGAGTTACCATCAATATGTACTTAGCAGGGATTAGGAAACAACCATTCAATTCTGTCTAAAATAGTTAAAAACAAATTCACTTTCAAATAAGCATAAATACACACATTTGGAGTTTTTATTAGGTTCTACAGCAGTTTTTCTCTTTCTGCAAACTGCTACAATGATGACTCACATTTTGGCATTTAAGGCCAATATTACTTTCTGGCTGAACATCTGTGTGAATTATTACGCCCTTCAATTTCTGTCATTCTTTCTTTACTTAAAGACTATGGAGGTTTACAGGCTGAGTGGACAGCTAGGAGCAATGCCAACCCTGTTCCTGAACCAAAGAAGGAGCAATCAAATTCATTCAGTCACACCTTCTACCCTACCCTTTCCAGCCCCCAACACTGGTGAGATGACCACAAGAAGTGCCAAATATCCTAGGCCAGTGGTCGGCAAACTCATTAGTCAACAGAGCCAAATATCAACAGTACAATGATTGACATTTCTTTTGAGAGCCAAAATTTTTATACTTAAAACTTCTTCTAACACCACTTCTTCAAAATAGACTCGCCTGGCCATGGTATTTTGTGGAAGAGCCACACTCAGGGGCCAAAGAGCCGAATGTGGCTTGAGAGCCAGTTTGCTGACCACGGTCCTGGAGGATTAGCATCAATTACCAAACTGGCTACAGCTCCTTTCATCCTCGATTACCATTGATTACCTCACAAATTTAAGACAAGCCAATAGTGTCAGGGTCAAATATGTCAACCTGCAGGATGGAAATCTGCTATTCACAGCCCAGAACTTACCAGAAAATACAAAGCACAATGTTTACTTCTGAAAGTTTATTAACTTTTTCAAGCCATTTATTTGTAATTAGAAGTTTACTAAATGATAGTTAAGACTTTAAAATATTACCTGAAGTTTGAAAGGTAATTTCTTTCTTCTCCATCATAAAATTTGAGATGTGTCTATCATAATATGAATGGCAAAGTGAAAATAAGGTAGTATGCGTATTAGGAACTGGGAACACAGTGACCAGTATAGACTTTTATTAACCACATCATATGTTTCTTCCCTCTTAAAAACAAACACACAAATACATTAAAATAAACCACCCAAAATGTCTTTTACCACGAAGTTTTGCTGTCACAGAGACTCACACTATTTTAATGATCATGGGCCTTAAAATCACAACACTAAGACCACCTCCAGTTAGGGCCCACACTGCACAGCCCGCTTCTAAACCGCCTGCACAGCTTGGAGGACGTGGGGGATGTGCACAGCCGATAAAGCAAAGCCGACTCACAGCACCTGACAACCCCGTTTCATTTGAGCTTCATCTGACTACTCATCTGACTCTTCCTTCAGGACATGCACAGAGGAAAACTCTAAATTCACTCCGTGTCAGAGGACATGTTACAGAGCTGTACATAGGTTGCTCTGGCACACGGGAGTGGGGGCCCTCAGTGCACCTCTTTCGTACAGAGCCTCGTTGTTCTGATGATATACAACCGCATTCTGGGACGCACTCGCACCGATACTATTTCAGTGAAGACGGTCTGGGCTATAGTCCAACACGTCACACGATTTCATTATGGAAAGAGGATATGCGCATCGATAGCTAATTGATTACAGCTGTTCTCATCATTAGCCCTGACTTCCCTCCCACAATTGTCACTGCTCGGGAGGCATGTTTTAATTTTTAGATCAAAATTACACTGCAGGGATGACGTTAGGTTTCCTAGGCCCAGAGGGCTAGGTTCCATACAGGTTTCATGATAATAGAAAAGGAAAGGAGGAAAAGACACGGGAAATAAGAAAATCCCAGAAAACATTTAAGGAAAGAAAGACAGTCCTAGAAAATACCTAGTTATCAAACAACAAAGCCCAAGTGGAGTTCCAGAGCCAAGGCCCCCTAAGAGCCATTTAGAACAGAGAAGGCATTTTCACAAATCTAAACTAATGGCAGCCCTAGAAAAGAAGACATTAAATTCAACTCTGACTTCTCCCTGGGCTGGGATGTCTTCACTTCTTTCCAGGCAAAATGTAACAGAATTCTAATATTTGAAGAAAAACCTCTTCTTCCTTGTAATAACAACAAAATATTTAGTATTTTAAAATTGCCAAGTGTTTTTCCCTTTCCCACATTTACATAAATATTTCTAAATTAATAAGAGAGTAAGAGATAAAAACAAAGCACTAAACTCTGAAGGTAACAAGTTCTTCCCTCAGTACCTATGGCTTGTATTTGGCTCTCTGCTGTCCACTGCGAGGAACTGGAGAGCACAACACAGGGACCCTCTGTAGTTGTGACTTCAGACACACTGATACGATTTTAAAGGTGTCTCCAAGTCATATCTAGAGAGTGCCTGAAGTTTCCACCACATAACCATCAGGTAAATAGCTTGCCTTTACTCCTTAGATAAGCCTATTGGAATCTAAGAAGCTCTCAATATTATGCAAAGTGAATAAGCCAGTCTGAGAAAGACAAGTATCACATGATCTCACTTATGTGGAATCTAATGAATAAAATAAACTGAGGGACAAAATAGTTCCAGAGACACAGAAGCATAGAAAAGACTGAGGAATCTCAGAGGGAAGGTGAGTGAGGGTGGGAAGTGATCAACCAAAGAGCTTGTATGCATAACCGAGGACACAGATAATAGGGTGGGGAAGGCCTGGGGGGTGAGGGAGGCAGGGAGGTGGGCTAGAAGGAGTTAATGGAGGGGAAGAGGGGACATAAGTAATACTTGCAATAATAAAGATTTTAAAAAATAATAAGCTCTCAGATTAACTGGCTTCAAGAATAACCCACATAATTTACATAGCATTATTTTTCCTAATACTAAACTATACAAAGTGAATTTACAGCTTAAATATGGAAACAGGCACCAAACTGATTTTAAAATAAAGTATCTCAGTCCTGACATATCAAACTAACACTTTAAAATTCTTATTCTTCCCGAGTACTAAAGCTTTAATGGTTTATTTAAATTCTTAAAGAAAATAAAGATTAAAATCTAAACACAGTTTTCTATCATTTTAGCATTTCACATAGTCACTTAGGCTGTGGCCTTAGCATTTCTATAAAAACTTGGAAGAGAGGATAGAAAGCACAGTGAGCAGACAAGTAATATCATTTTAAGAAATCGTGGTCTATAAATGCTCTCATGCACAATGACTGTAAAAGAAATTCGTGAGAATGACTTTTCCAAAGCCCAACTTTCCCCATGAATAGACTTTTGTACTTACTGTAATGCTTACCTGGTCTCCTGCCAAAACAAATATTTTAATATAAAATTTAATAAATGGAACTAAAAGTATCATGTCTAATTTAAAATTCCATATTGTGTAAACTATTGATATTAACATAATTGAGTTTGTAAACAATCCATTTGTAGCAGCTAACCTTAGACAACTGTATTGACCCAAAATATCTAGTGGGGCTCATCTGCAAAATGAAGCCTCAATGCCTAGAATTCATTAAAAGTGTTACATGTTTAATTTCTCCTGCCCTACAGCTCCATTGTCTCGTAAAAATTTTCCTTTGATCTCCCCCACTAAAAGAATTAAAGGAATATTGTAATTGAAATGTCATCAATAATTCACAAGACCCTCCTCCACAGCAATACATCTGATAAAATATTAATTGAGCTCCACAGACTGACAGTCTGCAGAGGAGCACTTGCCTGTAATTTGAACCACGAGTTCTGATCTTGCTGTAGCTCAGACCTGCCAAGAAGGCAATTATCTGGATGGTCTTGCCCAATCCCATTTCGTCTCCCAGAATTCCTCCTGCTTGCTGGCAGTGCAATTCCCACAGCCACCTAACACCTGTCTGCTGGTACCTACAACAACAAACACCAACAAGAAAAAGAAAATGGCAAATGGTGGATAATACAGATCATAACACAAAGTACTCATGAATTAATAATTTCACTAAGTTCTAGTACCAGTTAGAAAAACATGCCGGATGTGTGTTTTACATAAGTATTATATTTATAAGGTCATACATTTTTTATCATCTAGGCCTAAAATCACAAATTTTTCTTTACTGAACATTAACACATTTCTAATTAAACTGATAGATGGTGTAATTGGGGACTATTTTCTTTCCTTTACAACATTAAAAATAGCTTGGGAGAATAACATAAGCTCATTATCTTTTTCAGTATCTTCCTGGAGGGAGAAATCTCAAATATTTTTAGTTTTTAAATTTTCAATAATTTTCTATTAACAAAAAACACGAACAGCATCAAAAAACAGGCCACAGATTACCAATTTATAGCATATATTATTGAAAAGTCACTGGTAATCATATTTCTTTTGTTGTGATTAATCCTCACCTGAAGATATTTTGTTTATTGATTTTTAGAGAGAGTGGAAGGGAGGGGGAAAGACAGAGAGAGAGAAACATTGATGTGAGAGAGGCACACTGATTGGCCGGGGATGGAGCCTGTCACCAAGGTACATGCCCTTGACCAGAATCGAACCTGTTACCCTTCAGTCCATGGGTAGACGCTCTATCCACTGAGTCAAATAGACTAGGTCCATATTTTCCTTTTATAAGAAGATTTAAATTAAATTTTAAGATGATAAACAAGACTGAATAATAGGGTTCCTCACAAAATTAATACATAACAAATGATTCTGTCATATTATTAGCATATGCAAAAAAAAAAAATTTTTTTTAAATCAACAATAGCCCTGGCCGGTTTGGCTCAGTGTATAGAACGTCAGCCTGCGAACTGAGGGGTCCTGGGTTCGATTCTGGCCAAGGGGACATGCCCTGGGTTGCAGGCTTGGTCCCATGCAGGAGGCAGCCAATCAATGATTCTGTTTCATCATGTCTCTCCGTTTCTCTCTCTCTCTCTCTCTCTCTCTCTCTCTCTCTCTCTCTCTCTCTCTCTCTCTCTCTCTCTCCCTCCCTCCCTCCCTCCCTCCCTCCCTCCCTCCCTCCTTCCCTCCCTCCCTCCTTCCCTCCCTCTCTTTTCCTCTCTGAAAATCAATAAAGATATATTTAAATAAATAAATAACTTATTTGACACTGCTCATTTTTAAAAAAATCAACAATACAAAAAACCTTTTTAACATTTTAAAGCAGAACTTGATTCAGGGACTTTTTCATAGATACAAAAACATCAGAGCTCTTGAAAGTTTAAATAAGGAGGTACAGGTCAAAGGTAATAATAGCACAGTCCCCTCTACAAAAAAAAAAAAAAAAAAAAAAGAAAGAAAAATGTTGGTATTTTCCTTTCTCAATGGTATATTTATTTAATCTATAGTCTAAAAATAAAGTTTAAAAAAGGGAGAATGCAAAAAGAACTTTTAAGAGTTAATATCATGGAACAATATAAAGATTACATGGCAAATTAAAAAAAAAAATCTAAAACAAAGCAAAACCTCCACCTAAGTTGAAAGACAATGAAATCCAAAGGATTTTTTTTTTTTTTCAGGAAAATATCAAGACTAATGAGCTTCCCACCTTAAAAGAAAATGATTTTATTTTACTGCCCAAATGTATTTGGTACATGGTATGTCTACCTAAAATCTCATTATGAACTGCAGTCCTTATTGAACTGGCTTTACTTAGTCTTCTTTCATGTCATAATTAACTTTCCCCAGTATTTTGCAAGTCAATTCCAAAAGTTTGACTTCAGCTGTTACCATTATTATCTATCACATTAGGAAAGCTTAGAATGAGAATTTTGCTGCTTAGTAGGTTTGCTAATCATAATATACAATTTGAATATGCACCCTGGGAAAAAAGGATTAAAAAATCAAAACATATTAAAAAGTGCACTATGAATAAAAGATCATTTAATTTGGGAAGAAGGACAAGTTCTACTAGCAAGTGGTATGCAATCAGAGAATATGGCAACTACCCAGGGAGGCAGCAGGCCAGGTGGCTGCAGGGAGACTGCCTGCCCGCTTTATAGTTAGGAAAGGAAGGCACACAGAGGTTAAGTAACTTGCCAAAGGTCACACTGTTAGAAAAAAATGAGCAAGGCAGAACTGAAATCCAGAACCTCTGATTCCTATCACTTTGGAGATAATCCTGACCAGCAGTTCTCAAGGAGGGGTTTCTCTGCTTTGTAGGGGCCAGCTGGCACTACCTAGAGGCAACTGTCATTGTTCTCTAGTGGTGAAAGCATGAGATGCTGGTCAACATCCTTCAACACAAAAGAACAGTCCCTACAACAGAGTTATTCGGCCCAAAATATCGTTGTGCTAAAGAAGAGAAATCCAGATCAAGAATAAAAGCTGGCTGTGAACTGGCTATAATACACTAATCCCAGCTTTGGAAAAGGATGTATTCAAAAAACTCAAATACAGAACTAACCCTTTATTTGTGGTTTCACTTTCTAGCAGTTTCAATTACTTGCAGTCCAAAAATACTAGAGAAATTCCAGAAATAAATGTAAGTTTTAAGTTTGCACACCATTCTGAGTAGCATGATGAAATCTCAAGTCTTCCATCTTTGTCCCGCTGGGCCATAAGTCACCCCTTTGTCCATCATTGCCCCCACTGCACATGCTCCCTGCCTGCTAGTCACTTAATTGCTTTTAGTTATCACATCCACTGTTGAGATATTACAGTGCTTGTGTTCAAGTAACCGTTATTTTACTTAAAAATGGCCCAACCACGAGAATGGTGCTGGCAATTCAGACTATGTATGCCAAAGAGAAGTGAAAAGAAAAGTTTGGTACTATCCACAGTTTCAGGCATCGATTGGGAGTCATTAGGGAAAGTTAAAGATTTTTACCAACTACTGTAGCATAGTAAAGAAATTATTATACTCTGCTTCTCCCATGAGACTAAAACTTCACAAAATTATTGCAGATAATTGGTATATTTTGGCATTGTCACACTAATCCAAGATTGCATTAACTAGTGTAGCTAAAAGTAAGGTCAAAAGGGTGAAGCTTGCCATTCGATTGCTAAATTATACAGATGAATGCATTTGCTGGGCAAACTTTCAAAACAGAATTTTAAAAGTTAAACATGATCTTACAAAAAATATCACTTAAATGGGTAATTGTACCTTCTGACTCCCTTGTGTACAATTCTCTGTTAATCTAATTCCACAGAGTGCAGTAAATACAGGAAAAATACATATCTATAGTTTAAAATTAAATTACCTTACCTAAAATATAATTATAAAATAAAAATGGAGGCTATCAATCATATTACTTTTTCATATAGCAGAAGAAAAGAAACAGAAGTTTTATAACATTTGTGAAGTATATAAAAACCCTGTTTTTGAGAGATAAAAAACAAAAACAAAACACTTTCCAGAAATGTGCAATTAAGATAAATTAAAAAAACAAACAAATGTGCCGAAACCAGTTTGGCTCAGTGGTAGAGTGTGGGTCTGCGGACTGAAAGGTCCCAGGTTCGATTCCGGTCAGGGGCATATACATTGGTTGCAGGCACATCCCCAGTAGGGGGCGTGCAGGAGGCAGCTGGTCGATGTTTCTCTCTCGTTGACGTTTCTAGCTCTCTCTCTCTCTCCCTTCCTCTCCGTAAAAAATCAATAAAATATATTTAAAAACAAACAAACAAACAAACAAACAAACAAAAACAACAATAAACAAAGGTGCTAACATTAACTACAATAAGGTTAATAGTCATAATAGTCAATACAATAAATCATACATTCTTAGTAAGTGAAGTTTGGTTATTTACTGTGAAATTTTTTTGCTAGAAAACTTCACATTTATTTTTTTAAAATGCAGATTCAACTTGAGTCTTGAGGATATTTGCCAAATGACTATATGTATAGAAGTATCTTCTTTGATAAATTGCCTTAATCTGTCATTTGGCCCATTACATAGTAATTAATCGCTTCAGAGAAGATGAAAAGAGTTGCCAATAAGCATCTTTATTTACCTTTCCATAGTTAATTTTCATTTTGGGGAAGCAATAAACAAAGCTGCCACCTCTCCAAGCTATAAAATCTATGAAAATTACTAGATTCAGATTTTAATTTCTTTGCAGTTTTTCTGTCTAGTTATGGCAACTCAACCAAGACACTTCAGCACATCTTTAGAATTCGGCTTTTCTAAATGTTTAGTGAGATAAAATAATTCTTCCTGTACTTGTTTTTTCCCCACACTCCAAGAAAAATTAAAACTATAAAAACTCTTTGAGATGAAATATAAAAAGCATGCTATTTTTAAATAGACATCTTGCAGAAGTTTAAAGGTAAATCTATTAAGATTAAACATAACCATTTCAAATAAGTTTGCATCCCGCACCCAACTACCAACTGATGATGAGAGACAGAAAGAAGCTATTTAATGGTTTAACTTCCTATATGTATCTAAGAAGCCTTCCTGGAGTACCTTGTTAAGCAAGTCTCCAGAGTGATGAGACGGAAAGTGTGCCTCAGTATTCACATTCATCACGGAGACGGCCAGTGCCGTGCAGGCTTTCCGCATGCGCCTCCATGCGGCATCCGGTTCTAACACGGAGGCCACTTCACATAGGAAGCATAGTCAGTTTCAAAGAGCAACTCATTCCTGAAGGTGTTTGTCTATATCTTCTTTTTTGACATTAGGACATCTACATAAAATATTTAGATGCGCATTTGGTCGGCTCAAAAGTATTATACCCTTAGGTACAATATAGGGCACTCAGAAAATAATCTAAACAGTTTTTTTATTCTATATAGAAGTAAAAAACCTTCCCAATATTGATTTTAATATAAAACTCTTCTTAACCTGATTTAAGAAATTAGAGGTTTGGTTCCTAAAAACTACTAAGAACAATAAAATAACTCAGTGTAGATGGGTTTTAAATGTGCTTTTAGTCTGCAAGACAGGTCCATATAGATTCATCAGTTTACAAACATACCCAACGCGCACTGTAGTCAATTTATTATCATCTAATTTTAATGAACAGCATGTGGCTAAAATTTCATTTGACAGCATCTATTTGCAATAAATTGCTGCAAGTACCTAAGGGCCTAAAGGTAACTGCTATGTAATTCCTAAAATATTAATCTGCACACAATGGCTTGATGACAGAATAAAAAGAAAAAACACATGGCACATACTTGAAAAGCTTTTTGAACAGGAAACCTGGCACTTTAAAACCTTCATCAAACTCAGCATCACTTTCCTCAGAATCATCTTCAAGCTTCAGACACTTCTCTTTGTCCTGCAGTCTCAGCTTATTCCATCTCCTACATGAAAAGAAAAATCATATTTCCATTATTTTGATTATAAGACAGATTAAAATAGATCATTCTAGATAATGCACAGGAAAAAACAGGCAAGTTAGACTGATCTTTTTTCGCCCAAAACACCAATATTCAAAGAAGAAAAACAACCAATTCTCTTTTCCATCCTTCTCAATTCAATTCTTATTTGAAATATTGTAGCTGCACTACAAATATTTTTAAGGTCCCAATTCATTATCAAAACTACCTGTACCTCATTTGGAATACACCCTGAGGAAAAACTTCTCTGCTAGTTCCTAAGATATATGAACTTAATTTTACAAAAGATTCAGTGAAAATTTCAGTGTGGCTAAGTATCTCCAAAACAGCAGTATAACAAAAAATATTTTATTTCTAATTACTATTTCTGTGCTAAAAATATGCTAGTAATACCACAAAACAGCACAATATCTTGAATATAAGGCAAATTTTTGGTCAATCTGACTATAATTGGGTTCACACATTGATTACTTAACGGGAGGGCATCAATAATATAAAAGTACTGATAATTATACCAATGAGAAAAATGTGTGTTCACCAAATAAAATCTAAGTTTCAAATTTAGTACATAATGCTTTTCAAATATAAAATAAAATGAATATTTATATTTCAGAGGGATAATGCCATCTATCTATACATATAAAAAGGCAGTAACCGTAACAACCGAAAGCTCAAAAGAACACCGCAAGTTAGTCCTGCAGTCAGTGCTGGATTGCAGTAGCCACCCAGCACTGACTGTGGGGGAGGCTGTGGATCAGGGCCAGAGAGAGGCCTGGAAAGAGATAGAGGCAAGGTCTGATTAGCCCTTGCCTCTCTCTTTCTCCCCGGGCCTCCTCAGGGGCTGCTAATCAGCCCTACCTCTCTAATCAGGTACAGAGATAGGCCTGGAGACACTGACTAGCATAAAAACTGACCAATCAGAACCAAATCTGGGTGAACTTAGAGGAGCCAATGACTGTCTAGGAGGCGGAGCTATTGATGCTTACTGGCATAGAAATCGACCAATCAGAACCAAATCTGGGTGAACTGTGAGGAGTCAATGGCTGCCTAGAAGGCGGAGCTTTTGACGCTGACTGGCATAAAAACTGACCAATTAGAACCTAATCTGGGTGAACTGCGAAGGCAGAACCTAAACTGGGAATGAGGAGGGGTTTTAAGGCAATTGGGGGTGAGATCAGGCCTGCAGGGGAGGGCAGTTGGAGGCAAGATCAGGCTGGCAGGGGAGGGCTGTTGGGGGTGATCAGGCAGGCAGAGGCAGTTAGGGGTAATCAAGCAGGCAGCCAAGCAGTTAGGAGCCAGCAGTCCCAGATTGTGAGAGGGATGTTTTACTTCCAGTTTAGGCCCAAACCAGGTCCCTGATTAGAGAGAGTGCAGGCTGAACTGAGGGAACCCTCCGAATTTCGTTCACTGGGCCACTAGTATATATAATAAAAGCCTAAGTGACCATTATAGGGGAATGACCAGAAAAACCGGTTGGTATGATGTGCAATGACCACAGGGGGTGTGTTGCTCTGCCAGAAGCAGGGTTCATGGCTGGCGAGTGCAGCAGTGGTGATGGAAGCTTCTCCTGCCCCCACGGCAGTGCTAAGGAGCAGTGAGCTGAGCAGTCAGCAGCCTGTGCTAAGGAGCAGCAAGCCTAGCATTAGGAGTGAGGGATCCCGGATTGTGAGAGAGATGTCCAAGGGGTCCCGGACAGTGAGAGGGCATAGGATGAGCTGAGAGACAACCCCTGCCATGAACCAATTTCATGCACCAGGACTCTAGTATACACATAAAAGAACAAAATGTGTAAGATCTAAAAGTCTCAGCAACACGCCAAGGTTGTTGGGAAGTTGAAGCCATTTAGCCAGCCTAATTCTGTATTCATATAACTACAATGGACACTGGTGTCACAAGTTAAAAAAAAAAAAAAAAAAGTCAATAGCCTCATATTTTACTTTTTTCCATTTATTAAAGGATGACTTTTTAGTAAGCTTGCAAGTGACATTTTAAATTTCATAAAATGGTGGAAATAAAGCACTGATACTGATAAATGCCTTCAAAATAAAAAGCTCACAGCAACATATATAAGAAGGCATTTATCTGCCTCTCATGCAAGAAAAACATTGCACATCTAAGGAAAGGTAAAGGAGAAAAGGTTAGAATGATATTGCACATGGTGGATTCTCCGGTATCAATTACCAAGCCAGCATGGAGGCCAAACAGAGCAACAGGTGATCCATCCAGGGAACTGCTTAAAAACCTCCTTTGATAAATTCTTGATGAAAATTTCAACTCTTCAAAGTAGCAAAAGGAAAAGTTAGCTGAAGTTTAACTGAAACCACTAAGGAAGACTGGCTGGTGACCTGAAACTGCTTCTCAGGGTTCTAAATCAGCATTGCTGGTAATTTCCAAAGAACAGCAAATAGAAGAGGCAGTATATGGACAAGTCTAAGGAAACGGCTGTTATATAAGATTTAGTATGTAACAGTCTTTTTATTTAAAAAATTAATCACCTTTTTGTGCTTAACTTCTAAAGACAATCTCTTCCTCTCTTTTATTTGTATTTTTCTTCCTTAATTTCCAGGCAACTGATTAAATGAAGAGTGATGCGGTAGGCTAGGTAACAGTCTCTGCTATTCTTCATTATAAACTTAGTTACATGCAATGGCATACAGCAGTGGTTCTCAACTGACCGTGCTCCATTGCCCCCTGTCACAGGGGGATTTGGCAATGCCTGGAAACATATTTGGTTTCTACAACTACTAGCATAGAGCTGGCTGAGGCCAGGGATTCTAAGCATCCTACAACGTACAGGACAGTCCTCTACAACAAAATGTTATCTGGTCTCAAAGGCCAATAATGCTAAGTATCCTTTACTAGTGGAACTTAAATATTCATACCTTTTCTTGACATACCGTACATGTATGAATTCTTGCTACTCACTACCTGAAATTTAGCAAGCAAGCAAATTCAAATGAGATATTCCTCAGTATCCAAATTCTTACTATCAGAGCTCAAAACCAAGGATACCGTACTTAGAAAATTTGTGGATAACATAAAATTTGTGGAAAAATCACAAAAACTATTACAGTACTTAAAAAGCACTTCATTTGCAAATACTCACAGACAATCTTATAAGAAAAAAAGAAAAACACCAGAAGTTACTGGCTTTTTAAATCTGGCGTAACAGGTCATTAAATACTTTATATACAAGAAATTCACTGACAGACGACCAACATTTCCTTAGACTCAGCCCATACATCTCTGTGGCTGTTAAATTTCCCACCACATCACTCTGTACCAACAGGGTATCAGCTTCCTCCTCCCTCTCTGTCTCCCTCTTAAATGCAGGCATCGTGTCAGCACAGAACACAGCACCTCGGAAACCACAGAAGCCACTATAGAAATGAATGCATCCCAGCGTCATCCGCTTCATAAAGAAAGATGACAAGAAACAAACATTTATTCAGCTTGGCTAAAGGATGACTGAAGGTGGTGGAGAAAAATCATTATTACCTATAAATATTTGTATCATTGTGAAGACAAATCACCCAGTAGAATCATATACACATTATGAGAGACATAAAATACCAGCTAAAAAACCACATGCCCATGTGGCTCAAGCTAAGAGATTCTTTGTTCCACAAAGCAGCAATTCCTAGGTGGCTTGTAGCCAAAACAGACCTGCCCATGCCACTAGAGCCCACGCAGGGCAGCGCCAAGCGCGGGCTGACAAGGAGCACCAGGCACGCTGTGGAGGAGGAAGAGGGCCAGCGTCATCTGAATCCTGAGAGAAACAGGTGCTGTTCCATCCTCACTGCCCTCGAGGGTCTCGTGCTCTTTCTCGGTGCTTATCCCGCTCTCACAGCCTGGAAGGCGGAGGCTCTGTCTGGCCAGCAGATGTCGAGGGGATTCTGTGCTGTGACCACTGGGTTAGACATGCAGTAAGCACAGACCCAAACACAGAGTCCTGGTCTCAGTGGTCCAGAACCCCATCCTGACTGCTGTTTATTAGTTCCCTAAACCAAAGCAAGTAAATTAATCTGTTTAGCACCTAAGTTTCCTCTGGGTTTGGGCGAGAATTAAATGAGGTATCACATGTAAAGCACTTATTAGCATAAGCCTAAAATAAAATAAATGCTGAGTGAGTTAACCTACCATTAGATGTAATGATACCTATATGTGTGAAACCCTCCACCACCTGAGGCAGGAGCCATTACTATGCCCACAGAGGGGAGCAAAGGAATATGTCGTCCAATACAATTGCACACGATACTGCAAAGCACCACCAAATTTGACAGAACTCCTGAACAAGTCCATCTGAACTAAACTAAACTGGTTTATCAAACAGATGCTAAGTAGATTATTACAAGTAACATGATCAGCATGAATAAAGACAGTGGCCATCAGAGGGTACCTGCTGGAATACCTCACTTTGAAAATTCTGGTAACAGACTATTATAGTGAACTGTTGTGAAGCAGGTCCATCTTTTATATAACAAATGACTTTTCTATAACACAGAATGACTTAAAATTAGTTGATGGCAGAAAAATAAGATCCGGGCCCAAGTAATCTGAAATCTTAAAAATTAGAAATGGCTCCAAAATGTCTAAATTCTGTTATGAAGTAGTCCAATATTTACATTTTTGGAAAAGAAATAACTTTTTCCTGTTTTCTATTCTCATTTTAAAAAACTCACGCATGTAATAGTCACAGCTGCAGCCGCATAAAACCAAGTGGGCCTGGTGTTTCTGGCAGTGTCTCTAGCTCCTCACACAACGACCACAGTCAGCCCGCTGTTGACTCCACTGGCAGCCACTTAGAAGAGAACCTAGCAATAAACATAAACTTCAATTCCAAGCAGATGCAAGCAGAGAAAACACTCCCTGGTTCCCCGCACTCATGCAGGAATGAGAACCAGGCCCGGGCTATGAGGCCTGCGGCTGATACCACAATAACCATCTATCAGTAGCAGCACGGA